AGTTCGCCGCCCGCTAATGGTGAGAACGCCGCCCACGTGGTGGCTCAATGGCGGGCTGGTCGCTGGGCAAAGACAAAGTGGAGAAGGTGCCGTTGGACCACACAGTGGCACGACAGCCTGAAACGCCCAGTTGCGCCGGTGGCCGCCCCACTGCAGAGCGTGGGCGCGGGGCGTATCTCGTGGACACCGTCCGATCCAAAAATTCCTCCCTCAATAAATATTCTTTGCGCTAAGCCTCACAATGGCAAATAGGAGAGAGGGAAAGGTTAGTATTGGGGATTCCCCCGGTAAATCTTGGCACGCAACATTCCTCTCGCAGGCTTTCAAAGTAAAATAACATGAAATAAAAATCAACAACAACAACAAAAAACAAACTGGGCTCCAACAATGCGAATGGCTTCTTTTCACTCAATGTTGCTTCACACACCGCTCCATTTGCATTTTTGCCGCACGGTCCAGGTCTATTTTAAAAAACAATAATTTGGCCTGCATTGAATAGCACATAAAAAAATAAATAAATAAAGGGGTGCTTCGGGGTGCACATATATACATATGTGTAAATTATCAAAAAGTCTCTTGCAGATTGGAGTTATATGGCTCCAGAAGGAATTTAAATTAATCAAAGAAGACAAATTAAAACTATTAACCAAAAATTGGCACATTCCCAACTTGACGGGTACAAAACGCGTTTTTTCACAGTATCATCAATACATTGATATAAAAATAAAGACCAGTAAAATCACTGAAATTGATGGAAAAACTGACAACAAACTGCTCACGTCTCCGCCTCCCCTGAGTGGATCAAAGATAATACACACATCGTCGTACTTTGGACACAAAATCTTTCCTCCCGTGAACAGCCCAGTTGGTGTAATACTGCTGCCCTCTGGGCACTGGCGCCATGTATCATCTCCAAGGTACCGCACGCTCACCTCACCCTTCTCACACGACACCTCAGCGCACACGTCACCAATACGACCCATGAAATCGACAAGCCCATCCCCCTTTAAGCACTTTGATCTCGGGCCAACGCGACTCCCATGCATGATGCTTGCTTCCCCATTGCTGCACCGAGTGTTGGAATACGGTTGAACGTAAGGGCATAAGTCCATTAAGGAGGAGTTCGAACCGCCAAGTTTGAGATTCGAAAAGTACTGATATTGTTGGAGAAGTTCGGCTGTGTAGAGATAGATTGTACAGTACCCCAGCGCCAGACGATCCGATGTGCATGAAATAAGAGTTGTTTCAGCGGTGCAAAACATCTCTGGATACTGGGTGACGCCATTCATCAGGCATTTCTCTGTCAGCAGCGCGCAGCCGGAGTTGTTGCCCCATGACATCGGTTCCTCCATTCCCCAATTGGCCTTGTAAAACCCGGTGTCCTCCAAAGCAGCCATTGTCAGGGACGTGTAGTAGCCGATTCCGGAAATACCAGCCATCAGCTCGTCCTTTGCGTTGCGTCTCTCCCAATGCGACAATGCTGTTCCTTCCCCACCCTCATCCTCCAGCTCCATGCCGGTAGCATTCACGCAGTTGAAGTGCTCGCGAGTCTTCTCCACCGTCTTGGGTGACGACACCTGCAGCACCTTTGCTTTGCCGCGTACGTTCAAAACCTCCTTCAACATATTGCGTTCTTGCAGTAACCACACACTAAACCCAAGAGCATGTGCAACTTCATGCACTGAAACACGAACACTGTTCTCCGAATTAGTGACAAAGCTCGGGCCATAATTCACCACTCCGACAACAGGGCGTCCATCGATTAATTGAGAGCATGCAGTAGCCCACGCAAGTGTGGAATACCGTGTCGGGCCAGCGGAGACATACAAGTACATGTCCGCACCGCTCACACCCTCTATGTGGTGGGAGCTGGGTATTGTAAACTGAGCGCATACACCTGAAAAGTACCATGGTACAATAACCCTGCCCGTGAGAGGCCTAACAAGTAGACGATCCGTATGCATTCGGAACGCTCGGGGAAGAAGGGAGTTTATTATGATGGATCTTTTTTCCTTCGTCAAAATATCCCTTTTATTACACTCAAGAGTTCCCCCAATAAAGTCTGGACGAATCTGCTTCTCAGCGGTGCAGTGTTTTGAGGGATCGTTCAGATCCTCCGTGAAGACTTGAAAGCGGATGGGCGCCCATTCGGGAGCCGAGGCAGTCAGCGCCCGCATCATGCCACCTCCCCGAGTTGGCAGCTCTAGCACCACTGCTGTCGTCCGGGGGCCAACCTTGTTTTCAACTTCATCGGAGATGCAGTGATGCTCAGCGACGGCAACAGAACCAGAGACGCAGCAGAGTAGCAGCACCTGGAATAGCAGGGTGTGACGCATCCTTGTGTGTTTTTTTCTTTTGGGCCTTTCACAGTGCACTTTAGCTGTTTGTATGCTTGTCAATTGGCTTACCTTGAGAAAAGAAATGAATGGATTGAGTAACTGGTGCATTCTCAATAAAATACGGCATCAGTGAGTCATGGTAACTGCTGAAATACACATTGAATACAATATTACAAAATTATCTCGGCTTTTTCCCACAATAAATAGGGTTACCTTAGTGAGCGCCCGTCCATTTGTTTCACTGCTGTTGATCGGGAAGTTCACTCCAATCCATTGATGGCATTCCGCCTCTTCACTTTTTTTTCCCCCGCTAATGAAATCACAGTAAATAAAAGTTATCGTGGTCTGTACGCCTTCTTTCGGCGATAAGGACATTTTTCTGAATGATTTCACTTAGGATGCAATCGTGTTCTATGGTGGCCAGTGTGGGTTCCATGGACATCAAATAACAAGAAGAAATAATAGCAACAACATGTTTTTTTTTCTCTCTTTCGTATTCTGTAGGTGAGATGGCATACTCGTTCTTAAGTTAATAATCGAATTCTGTTTGTAATATATATATTTAACATCACCTTTTCTTGATTGGGCGTACTTTACCATATATACGAGGTGCATTTTCATCATTTCTGGAGCAAGTAAACGTAAATCCCGTTATTTACCTCCTGATTGTTTAGTTTATAAACAATCGGAGCCTCTTTTTCATTTGTCATTTCAGTTTTTCCAAAATCTACAATACTTCGAGTCCTTTTGTATTGATAGATTCATTTCGAGCTTACACATAAAAAGGTTTTTTGTTGTGCTAGTAAAGGGCATTCTTCAAATTCTTCATAGCGCATAAATCAAATCTTCAAATGGTAGACTCCCTTCTGTGTCCGTGAATAAAACATGAGACCTCATGGGAGCAAATTGATCAGAAAAAATTAAAATTTCGGGAATATCCCAAAAGCAAAAACAAATTCAATGGACACATACACCAACAGTGAGTTCCCAACCGCTTCAATTCCCATTGGATTCCCGCACAGCATCAATGTTATACACATCCCATTTTTCTTCCAAGCGTTGAAGAAGACAATCCCAAGAAATGTTTTTCGACTCATCATTCTTTTGCCTAATGATGTCGTTAACAGTATTTTGGAGTGCCGAAAAATAACGAATCAGTTTTTTCCCCTCAGTTTCCTCGAAAAGTGAGAACTTTAAAGTATACAACCTACCAGGACCATATGAATACAAAAAGTCCACGTAGTTATAGTAAGCATCATTTAATGGAAGGACATTTTTGAAGCGGCACCACTTCAAATAAAATGGTGAGCCCACCTTAGTAATGGCCACCATTTCAGCCTGTACAAAGTTTCGAACCCTTCCACTAGGAGGTGAGCCTTCCGTGCTTGAATAAAGTGAATTTACGACCAATTCTTCAAATATTTTGAGCCTTTTCCATTTTCTAAAACATTCTTCATGAAGTAAAACAGCATCCCTAGTTGGCAACTGCTGACGGAGAGCATCTAGAACACGTGTGGACTTGGAAATATGTTCCTTCAATAACATCATTTGCAATTGAAGGGATTCCATCACCTTCATCGTTGAACCAGCTCTTTTTTTAAAGCTCAAGTCAATTGCTCCATTACCAGGGTTTGCCTCGGCTATCTCTTTATGCTCTATTTGTAAAAATGGCAATCCAAAAGAAAATCCCCGAACGCCACAATCTTTTCTGAAGTCGTTTTCTGAAATAAATCTCGGTCCTGTTTCCAATGTATGCTCCAAACGGTTTAAACTTCCATCTCTATCGGCAGTGGAGCCAAACTCTAAATAATTTTTTCCAATCCCAGGCATCGAAGCCCTCTGCAATACGATTTCCTGAATTGCATGAAGCGTCAGCCGGCGATAAGCATGCATCGCGGTGGCTGGGTCGTTTGTGAGAAGCTCTCTCCAAAGTGAAAGCGAATTGGCTTCTTCCCTCCAAACTCGGCAGACACCGGCACAAACAAGTACATCTCTCGCGGGCAAAAAAGGGAGCACGTCTGCAATGAATGACGTCATGAATGGTCGGCGGTGCCGCCTCGCGGGTGGCGGCGGAGGCGGGTGGATACCCGGCATTTTGCCCTGCCAAAATATATTTGTTTTCAAGGCTTTCCTTTTCGAGATTCACTCTCCAAAAGCGCTTCCCACCAACGGTGAAAAAAAAAAGAAAAAAAATTGCAAAAACACCAACAGCAACTAAAAAAAAAAAAAAAAAAAAGAGACAGACCGGCCGCCTCGCGCGGGAACAGGGCTCCAACAGCATCCGGCCGCCGATGCGTGCGCCACCGCGGCCTTTGCGTGAGAGGCCGGCGTTTTTTCTCCATTTTTCCTCGCGGCGTTGGCGTCCCCGTCTTGGGGTGGCGGCCGGTTGGCGGTCGGGAGGGTGTTTGCGCGGGGGCGGGGCTTGCCTTTTGTTTCTTTCTGCGTCTGCGTCTTTGGATTGGGTGCCTTTTTTTTTTGTGTGTTTGTTATTTTATTTGTTTGATATATTTGTTGGTTTGCTGTAGGGATGCCCTTAGATCAAAAGGAAGAGTTCTCTCGTTACGTTTACGAGATTGCTCGTGTACAACGCCAGCTTGTTTCCGACCGTATAGAGGTGTTGGCTCGACATCACAGACATGCCTGGCATTATTTTATTGGTTGCGTGACTTTTTCCGCTTCAAGTGTGATGTTGATGTTTAAGTTTTGGGGACCCCGTCACATCTTCAAAAATAGCATGTACTACGCTAGACCTTTGCCACCGGCTATAAGCATGGGTGTTGCACTTTATGGTGTGATCTTCACGTGTCGTGGTATGCTTATGAGAAATCGGATTTGTAATATGATGGAAGATTATGAATATGAGCTGAAGCGCATCAATGCACACCACTGTGAAGTGGGTATTGCGCAGCTTGCATGGTTACAATTTGTAACAGATCAATTAAAACAAGGCGCAGAATATCGGTTTGATTTCAAAAAACTTAGGCAAATATAATTTATTTTATAAAACTTTGGGATTTTTTAATGAACCTTTTGGTAGGAGATATACGATGAAAATAATTGAGTAAAAGTTTGCTGACTGAAATACTTTTGTCCTTTATCTTAGTATTTATCATTTTTTAAAATAATAATAATAATAAGGATGGTAGTAAATTACAATGGACCTACAGCATGAGAATAGCGTTTCTCTTCGTTTTGAAAGGGTTATCGCACAATTTTTGGATGGAATTCCTAGGCCCTTTCTCAAAATTGTCTCAGATGTGGAACATGGCGTGACTTTTGAATTTTGTTCGGTAGGGTTTCCACCGGACTATACTGGTCTAACAGAATCAGTTCAGTTTCCCGAATTTCGAGAAAGTCAGTCTTTTGCTCCTATTTGTTTATGGTATTGTGGTCCCTCAACACCCAGTTCTAGAATGGGAGCCCATTATTCACCTTATGTTGGGACATTTCGTTTCAATGGAAAGGGAGTCTATCTTCAAAAAAAAGTATCTGATTTAAAACGATACGTTGTGAGGGTTCCCACTGAGACTTGCGAACGAAAGGGGACGATGTCATCTAAATTTGACCGGGATTTGCGCACTTCGCTTTTTATTGATTTTTATGAGAGAATTGCAGAAAATCAATTAGTTCATGAGAGAGAAAGCCTACGACGTATCGTTGTTTTATCAACCCAAGGTGTATCTGAAGAATACAGTGGTCTTGTTGAAGAAATAGTCTGTGAGATCAAGAGGCTTTACATCAGAGCCTGCGGTCATTTTATGTATCAATACATGAATCGGAATTTGCTATTCCGTCGAATTGTATCCCCTCTATGCTTAAGTGAGCCAGACAACGACTGTTTTACTTCTAATGGGAAAGGGAAAACTGATGATTTTTGTTTTGAACTAGCGTTGCGTTTCAAATCATCAATTTCCTACTTGGGAGAATCGTTACCGTGGAGCAGAAGAACCCATCAGTTTTTTTTAGACCTTCAAGAGTTATGGGTAAATCGATTTGGTAGACTGGCTATATTTGATATTAACACGAATCATTGGAGAACAAATGCTGATGCATTTTTAGCTAATCTTGGATTTTCGATGCGAGCTGCTTTTACTCGGATAAGAATTGAGTTTTATACTCAGTTAGAAATGCTTTTATTTACAGGAAATTTGGGATCGATACAATTTGCTTCATTGGATTCAAACACCTTGAGAAAGAGTGATCTGGGACGCGTATTCTTGGCAGTGCGTGTTTTCCTTGTGAACCGAATCCGAACTCTTATTTTTGAGGCACTGAAGGATTTGTTTCATTTTTTTACTGCTGTTGGAGAGGGCATCATATCGCCCTCAAAAGCTCGGAAAATTCCTCTTCTTGAGATAAACCTTACTGTTGGTGACTCTGGTTTACCATGTTCACCTTCTTTTGCATTGCTACGCTTTGGTCTTGCTGATCTTTTGGATGAGCTCGTTGATAGCTTTAATAATCTTCCAATTCCAGAGGTCATCATTATGCGAACACTCGACTTTGAAAGACGCACGTTAAACTCGTTTGACGCGGAAGAATTACCTTTAAAAGGTGCATTAATTAATTGTCTTGATGTTACAGGGTCCAAAATCAATGAATTAATAAGAGAATATTCACTTTTTTCAACCCTACCGCCAACAAATGGGGCTTACTTTACTCGGGCCAAGGAGGCAGTTATAGAAGATCGGGTTCGTTTGCTTCGTGAAAGCATTTTGAAAATTACAAATACTTCTCCGGATTTTGTGTTTTCTGGATGTATTGCTATTAATTGTACTGAGGTGAAAAAGTGGTATGTGGAACACTGGACAAGGTATTTGGAAAACTATTTAACTACAATACAAAGTGACATTCTCTCATACATAACAGCAACGATAGAGAGATGCCGTTTTTACAACGCGTGTTTAAATAAAGAGCCAAAGACCGTCGGGGAATTGGAAGAAATTTCTTGTGAAATTATTGATGCTGAATCCCGGTCAAATGAGGTTAAAATGAAAGACTGCAATCGAGTGATAGGATGGTTTGATTGTTTAGAGACTCTTCAGGTCTCTGTGGATACGCAACTTTATGCTGCAGCATTGGATTTGATGCGGTGCCCAAACGAAATGATGCAACTGGTTTTAAGATCCAAAGAAATATGTACTAAAAGTAAGCCGTCTATCATAGAGAAATTGGGCGAATTTCGAACTTCTACAAGGCTCCAGGTGACAACTATAAGTGATGGTGTACAGGAGCTACTGGGTTTATTTAATCTTGAAGTATGTGATATAGCCGCTCAAACTTGCGAGGAACTTCGTGCTATTGTTGATAAAGTTTCTAAGGGGATTGAATATATATCATATTGTGAACAATCTTTGGGAATTGATCAAGTTGATTCTTTTGAGGACTTTTTTCCTATAGTAAGGACCTTTGAAGTTTTGGAACAATTTTGGGGCGCTATTTTTGATTCAACTACAGTTCGGGACTATTACAATATTCCCATTAGCACACTTAATGCCACACAAATGATCGATCACGTACAACGCTGTCGACGTCTTCTTCACTTTTCCACACGTAACCTTCGGGCATATCCGGGATTGGTGAGGCTTGGTCGTCAACAAGAACAAATATTAAATGATTTTGAATGTTTGGAAGGGATTCTTATGTGTGTTACAGCACCAGGACTTCGAAAAAATCACTGGAAAGAAATATCGCGGATTCTTGGAAAGGATCCTAATACCAACTTACAAATAGACTCTAATGTAACGCTACAGAAACTACTAGAATCTAGGATTCAAGACCACTTTTATGAGCTGAAGCAAGTGGTGGATCCGGCTATTGTTGATTTTGAAACTGAAGCATCTTTGGAGCGTATGAAAAGTGAGGCAAAAAGGACTCGTTTTATATTTGAGATTATTGAGGGAACTGAGGAAGTTTTTGCTTTGTCTCCTTTATGTAGGGATTCTATATCTTCTCAATTAGAGACTTTTTTGCTTGACTTAAGAGTACTACGCGAGCATGTTTCAGTGAGCCATTATGTAATTAATTCCATTAATGAATGGGAGGCCGCTGTTGAAAAAATGCGATGCACTTTATCAAATTGGAATGAAATTGAATACGAATGGATAGAAGTTATGTATTTTGGCATGACTCTTGAGGCAATAAGTGATGGGGAAATTCCTGCAGTTGAATCACGCGAATGGAAGTTTTTGCGAGAGAAGGTAGGATCAATAAATGGTATTTTCAGCATTTTGTACGCGGGTTTACAAAAAACTCAATACACGCTCTTTACCGCCATGATACAGGAGAATATACAGGAACAACTTACTTTGGCATCTACTATTCTAGGTGATATTCGAAAAGTGGTAATGGGCTTATTAGACGCAAAAAGAGAGGCCTTTCCAAGGTTTTATTTTTTGAGTGACAGAGAGCTGATTTCTTTTCTTTCGGTAGTCAATAACACAAAATTGAAACAATTACTTTCAAAAATGTATAGTCGTGTGTGTGACGTTGGAGTTGAGGGAAATTCGGTTACCACATTCATTGCTGCAGACGGTGCAACACTTAAGGCAGAAGTTCCAATTCAATTATCTGCAGTTCCTGTTGATAGATGGATGAAGTCTTTTGAAAGGACATTGCGTTCTTCCTTGCTTCATGAATTTCGTGCTTGTGTTGAAAGCCACTATTATGTTGATTCCAGGACTTGGTTACGTGGTTATTGTGTACAAATAATTGATGTAGCTCTTCGGGTTATTCATAACCGAGATTTACATGAGGCCTTATCGCTTGCAGGTAGTATGGGTATTAACGCTTATGCAAGGCGTTTAAGGGATCTTACAGAAGAGTATATAAGAATTGCTGGTGCACATATGGAAAGTGGGGAACGACGGATTGTTTCTAGTGTCATTGTCTTTCTTTTGTGTTTTAGACGAGAAATTCAAATGGCTTTAAAAGCGGGTATCCAGACAAAAGAAGATCTTGACAAAACGGCAATGTTAAGAACTTTCATGGAGAATGATAGGATTTTTATACAAACATTAGGGCTTCGTCTTCCATATGGTATGGAATTTCTAGGAAACTACACGCTTCCCGTGTTAACTCCTGAATATATTGAAGGGGGATTGTACACTATTTTTTTATCTTTTGCGGCATCATCTTTCCCTGTTATTATTGGGAATCCAGAAAGGGCCTCTACGCTACAATATTGTGCAGAATACTTGGGTCGTTTTTGGTGGTGTCTTCAGTGTCACCCAGCGCTTACTTTGGAAGGGATCATACGGGATTTGCGTGGTGCGTTGGCTATAGGGGCTGTATTTTGCTTAAAAGATATAGACATGCTTGAGAAACCCCTTATTTTGCCCTTTAGCAATCTTTTTCGAAGCATTGAGACTGCATGTCAATCAGGAAAGCAGCTGTGCGATGGCGGATTTGATAAAATTGGGTTTGAAATAAAAGATACAACACAGTACGTGCAAAGGGACCCTTGCTTTCAAATTGTTTTCACGGCACCAAGTACTGACAAAATTCCAACGGGCCTTTCTTTTGCGTTTCGTCCTATTTACATAATGCCCGTAGACCTCACTGTGGTTGCCCAAGGTGCACTTTATAGGCTTGGGGTTTCTGGGTGGATGACAGTGGGTCAAAGGCTGGCTTTGATGTACGCACAACTCATTGAGGTATCACCTTTGATTTTTACCGTTAAAAATTTACTTACTGTAATACGTGACACTATTGAGTTTAACAAGGTACCAGTTGCAGAAAATCTCTGTACCTCGTTCTTGAATCAATTTTGGCAGGCAGTTCGTACCAATGAACGTTTACAAAATCTTTTGGAGTGGAATATGCTACATACACTTGGTGTTTCACAGGATTTCTGGGATGATGCGTTGAGTCAATTGAAAGCTTCTTCAGAATATGAGGCTATCTTGGATCGGTTCACTCGCTTCATGAAGTCTAATTCCAATGTGGTGTTGTTAGGACCAGCCTACTCTGGGAAGACAAAACTTTGGAAAGGTTGGATAGGCGAATTACACCACGTCGTGATTTCCTTCCGCTTGATTAGTTGTGCAGAAATCTATGGTGACGCGTGTCACCCAGGATTGCTTAGTTCCCTAGCCAAACAGTGGGACCCGTTGGTAAACCATGTTGTTGTTATTGAGAACGCGAATTTTTTGCAAACATCCATTATTTTTGAAACTCCAGCTTTTGTGAGGATTCGCCCCCACTCGGGAGCAGCTTTTATTAAGGGGGAGAGTGTGCGTCTCATTGCGGTGGCTTCTGAGCTTAACGCTGCCAACCCACGTGTGATGGTTGACTTTGCAATTTTTGCTTTACCGGAACCCACTCGTTGGAAGAAGTTCCTTAAAGAACTTCTTAGCACTGCACCGAGTTATTATACGGGTGTTGCTTACCCTGTTATGGTAACCCTGATTGACCACATCCTTGACACGCGCCACGTGCCCAATCGGACGTCTGCATCGTATGGAAATTTGTTCGCTGTCGCTTCTAGATGTTCTCAGCTGTATAAAAGATGGTACGTTTATGCCAAATCACGTTGTGAGAGTCGTGAAGAGTGGATTAGTGATCAGGCCTATGCCTTGCAGTGCGCTGTGTTTGCAACTACCTGGTCACTTGGATTGCATCTACATGAAAGAGAGCGTCATGTGTTACGGGTAGCCCTCGAAAAGTCTCAATTGAAACTAAATAGAATAGCTAAAGAAATTGGTTTTACGGAAGATGTGTTGCCGTCAACTGAGGACGATATTTTGCGTTACATTGCGACGCCCGTTGGGTGGAAGAAGATGGACAAAGCGAAAACAGCAACATCTGAGGCAGGATTTGCATCCATGTGGAGCCGGAAATGGGATGGCGTGGATATTAATCAGCGTACATGGTCGCAGTTTTTCCCATTTCCTTCTCGTGAGACAACCCTAACCGCTTTGGAGTATTTGATTGATGCCGGGCAGTCAGTGTTAATTACTGGAGAGAATGGACAGGGTAAATCCACCATATTGCGTCAAATGCGAAGCAACGACGGGTGGGTGCATCAGCTAGTGTGTAACAGCACCGCATGCCGAGCTGTTGAGATAAGTGAGGCATTAATGCGGAACATGACGTTGCGTCAGTCCAAAATATATGGGCCATCTATTGGACGAAAGCTAGTGCTATCTGTAGATGATGTGAACCTTCCTGGAGAAGGACGGTTTTCACAGGTGATGCATCTTTTTTCTTTTATTGATCGCTTTTCCGCTATATTGTCACCATCTCTTGGATATGTTTCCATCGCCGATGTTGTTTGCGCTGGGGCGTCGACGCCAGGGCCATCGTATGAAGTGGAAGTGGAAAATGCTGTTGTGCGAGTGCGACTACCAGAGCTTGAAGATTCTGAGATTATAGGATCTCTGCAAAAACTTTTTGATGTTGTATGTGTGAAACGGCGTGGGTTAAATGTTTCGAAAGACATAGTCACATTTCTTGTTGCTGCACATTCCCTTGCACTAAGGCTGATGCCCACCAAGCTGCGTGGGGAACGGACAAGCGAGGACACGACTGCCACCTTATTAGGAAATAACGGCAATGAGAGTGTGCCTCAAGAATATGAGTGTTGTAGCATTTCCGGGTTTCACATGACACATGGTGTTTGTATCTCGTTTATGCACCACTTTTTAAAAGTATCCGATAAAGCCTTGCGATTTCTTTCGAACTCATGGGATGATGCTGGGGCGGCAACGGTTATTTTTAACTTTGTATATGCCTTTTATGCAAATATGATTGAATACGAGGAGGAAAAAAAGCAGTTTAAAGAAGAACTAGAGTCCTCAGCTAACATGTGCTTGAGAAATTGTTTTACACCAGGTCCCGTCCGCTTCGATACCGTTCAAGACGACATTGAAATGGAGGAAAA